ACAGACAGAAGACCAAAATGACGGGCGCTGCTCTAAGCTGGACGCAAATGCATACAATCAAATGATTAGAAGGTGGGCCGAACTCAACATCGAGAGTGCGTAATTCTGTAGGGCATTATAACGTGAGATCTTGGTAAATATTGTAATTTTATTTCATTATTACAACTAATTATTACGATATGGATCTTCTTTTACAATGATAATATTAAATTGTTATATATTATTATAAATATAAAGTTTAAATTAGATGTGGCACAGTGTGGACATAAACAAACTACTAAGAGAGTCTATAGACAGAGTCACATACAAATTTTGGAAATGAAATACTGTTTCAAGACAGTCCTCAACTCTGTCAAGAGAAACTCGATGACCTTTCGTGAAATCTTGAAATGCATGAATAAGCACAGGTCCTCGCCCCAAACTTCCCAAACAGATGCATCCTCCCTGACCACGAGGTCTTTTCATCTAATCATAATTCATCCAATTATTAATCCACCAAAACAAGCAGTTGATGCTGGAAACCCTATAAAATCCAAAAGTAATGCATCTTTCATTATCCCAAGAATCACCCGGAAAAAAATGCGGTAAACAGGTTAGAAAGTGATCCATTTGGCGGAATAGAAAGCGCAGACCGATGGCGTTGAGGGAATTATCCTTCCTGTCACTTATCCTTGTCGCCAGTGCCAAGTGTGGCAACATACGTGAATTCAGCCACTGTGATATGTCAAATGGAACAACTACCTTTAATTTATCAACATGGGGTGATTTTTCTGCATTGTGCATTTTAATAGTCCTTTTCCATTTCAAAGTGAGTGCTCACGCCATGAAGATTTTATGAACACACACACCACACACACGCACGCACGCACACGCACGCACACAAACACACACACACACACACACACGTACAAAAACACAAACACAAACACACACGTATTATATATTATATAAATATATAATTATAATACTTATATATATATATATATATATATAATAGTTTGTTGTGTGTGTGTGTGTGTGTGTGTGTGTGTGTTGTATATAGTATATATTATAATATATATCATATATATAGTATATGTAACATAGCATAGTACTCAGTTATATATGATATACTATATAGATGTATACAAGTATCTAAGTTAATGGTATATATATCGTAGATCCTATAACTACCTACCTATTATTCACTTCTTTATGGCTACATAAAATGTATGAATGTTTATTAGAATGCAATACATACATACATACATATATATATTTTATATATTATTACTATACGTATAATCATGATCGACATATCACGCATCGTCGAATAGATAGTAGCTAGATAGATATGAGTAGATACGATCAGAGGGTGTAGTGATATGATGGAGAGGTGGAAGACCGACCACACACACACAGCATTATGCTATGACGTTGGTTGATTAATGAGTTGTTAACAATTATAGGATGGGTTAGTGGCATTGTTAAATTTTCGTATAACAGTGTATATAGTTTAGCAAGAGATAGAATGGGAATAAATAAGGATGCGACTATTCTATATATAGGGAGCAAACGCTCTAGCATGTTTTTTTAGACGCATGCTGGGCGGGTGCCAGGGTGAGAGATTTAGGAGAAGCTTGGATATTATTTATTATATATTACGTATCAGTGCCTGTAATATTATAATATACTAAATATATATATATATTATACTGTATGATATGACTGTACTACCACCTAGCCAACACCATGTCGCACATCACTAGACACATTACATATACATACACTACATGATCATTATATATATTATTATTCTTTTCGTTTTATAGTATTTTATCCTATAAGTACTACCCCCTTATATATTTTATATGTTATATTATTATGATATCAGCACTATTAGGCTACTAACTTCCAAGAATATAACAGTAAGATTAGAACACTAACATTATGTTTGGGTAAACAGGAAGGGGGTGATAAACGCAGTGGCAACGATACAACAGATGACTTAAAATGAGTGAATTACACGCACTACGCATATGGCTCAACCGCGAAGCAAAATGCTTATACGGAGACATTAACAAAGCTAAGCTAAATTATCGGTGTTTATCTGCATCACTGCTAAAATTGTTACATCTCATGCTTCACTCAGTCGCCTCACCTAATTAGGAACAAGAACCTTTTAATATATATATATCCCAACCGCCCCATTTTTTAGGTTATTTATTGTCATGCCGCATAGATGGCTCTACAAGTACTTCGTCACTAAGGAGTCTGTTTATTAGTGCCTGCCTATCTCCCTGTTTACTCTTTTCCTTGATTTTTCGAACGCACCTTTTTGTATTGTATTGCTTTATAACCGTTGTGACCAAAACAATTTGATGAACCATCTAGCAGACTATGTGTATAGTGTGAGTAATGGATAGACAGTATCGATATTAAGACTCTAAAGGACAACACACAGTTTTTGCCCGTCCATTGTCGAAGGAATGTGTAAGTGTGTGCGTATGTCGTGTGCGCTTCTGTTATGTGTGTGTCGTGTTTTTGTGTATGTGTTGCTATGTGTGGTGTGGTTTGTGTTGTTGGTGTGCGCGTCTCTTACCGGGTCGTTGTTTCAATATATATACTATATATAAACTATATAGTATAGTAGATAATATTAGTATAGTAGTAGACTTGTTAATTTAAGTAGATAATTGTATGTATTGCTATGCTATGTAGTATTTATACTATATGCATATATCACCCGCCGAAAATACATACATATATGAATATATATGTTACATATAAATTATGATATGAACATATATAATGTATGTATAGCAGATATTATATACTAGCCTAATATCCTATGCATATGTTTTAATATTTATTATATATATGATAGCTATTATATAGCTGTTATATTAGTATATATTTAGGATATACCCTATGTGTGTGGTGTGTGTGTGTTGTGTGGGCTGTGTGTGTTGCTTGTTTGTGGTGTGCTGGTATCTGTATCACCGCTATATGTAATAAGATATATGTATACTACATGTATATACTATGTATACTGTATATATACCTGTTATATATGCTCACTATATACACATGTTGTAGTATAGTACATGTACTGTATATATTCGTATAGGTATAGTGTACTAGCTACTATGTATATATATTGTATGATTTATACTCTCATTAATCTATAGTTTAGTATGTATATATTATGTTATGATATAACCATATATACTGTATATTATAGGTATTATACTATATATTTATAGTCTATATGTACTATGAGATAATATATACTATGATATCCTATTATATAGTACCTAGTACATATGAACCCCGTGCAGTATATCGCATACCCTGCAACGGTTGCGATAAAGCCTATTTTGGTGAAATGGGACGAGGCTTCAACACCAGGATCATCGAACATCGAGCCGACGTCCGTCACCACAGGACTTCCAATGCCATGGTAGTTCATGTAGATGAAGCTGGACATCTACCGAACTGGAAGGAAGCCGAAGTAATCCATGAAGGATTGAGTAAACATAAAAGGAAGGTCATGGAAGCTGCATACATCGCGACAGAAAAGAATATGAACACCGCATCAGGCAGGTTTAAAGTGTCCAAAATCGCAGCTGCAATTATGCGCATAATGAGTGCGAGGTCACAGTCGTCAGGTGATCTACCAGCTCCTATGTAGTATATATATGCTATGTATTTTCTCTTATGTATGTATTTCTGATGAAGACGTAATCGAAACCGGTCAAATACATCTCTTGTATTGTGAAGATATCCAGTCTCATTCATACCTTTTCTACATTTGTCAACATGGATACGTTTCATCCTTCTCACGATATGAGTGGCGAGTGGTCTGCCCCTCCCCGGGATTTCTTCACAAGACGCAAGATCCAGAGTGTCAAGAATCGACGTTGTTTCCTGATGGACTGCTTGGCTGAGCAAGTATTGCCACCTTCAGCTCCGAGCCAGTTAAAATCCGGCGAGCATCCGTTCCCTGATAGTGCTCGGGCCTTCCTTGTGGAGGCCATTAGGACCCTGTAACATCGACTCTACGAACTCCGGAACGAGCTCGAGGGCGAACACCTACCCCATGGGCTGGTCCTCCAATTACAACAGGAAGATCAAGTTCAACGAGCCAAACATAAGGAAAAATTACACCGCATATGTAGCATGAGAAGATGGTCGAAAGCTGGACGAAGGGATCTCAGAAACATGTTCTCCAAACGTCTTACCCGCACGGAAAAGGAAGCTCTCTCTCTTGGACTCAAGTTCAGCACCGGGGACAACAAAGACTTGATTGACTATGTTGTCTCGAACCACCGCTGGACCGATACTGACATCGACAAAGGGTTCATCCAAGGGATTACTGCTTGCTGTTTGGCCGATTCGTCTTCACGCCCCCCGGCGATCCCTCGCAGATATGTCACCGCGTTGAAGGGCCTCCGCGACGACGAG